CAAATTCGATTGATCTTCCCAGCGAGCATCTCTTCTCTGTGGTCACAAATGGATTTGAGCAATGTGAAGTTTTGGATTAGAAACAGGGCTCTAGAATTTCATGGGGAGAGGCGCAACTCTAAACAGTGAAACAGTTTTCCTGAGTTCTAACTTCATTAGAACAGTTACCATATTGCCAAAGGAGGAAAAGTTACACAGTAAAATTGAAGAAAAATTGAAAATAGTTTAGTAGAATTCAAGCTCATATACCACAAGTTGTTAAAATCATATTCTATGTTGTATTTGTTTAGGTGGGTATATAAAAAGGCCTCAGTGAGGACTTCAAAATTTACCCAGGTACCTGAAGGTCTTAGATTTGAATCCTGCTTTTTTATAGAGCAGTATGAAAGAGGGAAGAGAGGTAGAGGGAGAAAGTAGGAGGGAGGAGAAAGAGAGAAAAAGAGAGAGACAGAGACAGAGATACAGACAGGCAGAGACAGACAGACAGAGACAGAGACACAGAGATATTTAGGGAGGTGAAAAATATATGTATGCATATGTGTATATGTCTGTGTAAGATATGTTGCAACATTTTCAGGTACTGTCTAAATGTATAGATATACCTCATGGGTAATATAGAGAAATATCTCTGGAATCTAAATAACCTATTTTTTTCCCATGGGAGACTGTGATTTTTCACCTTGAAAGGGTTAGAGAAAACACCCTGTCTGGGTACTTGTTCTTTTCCTCACTCATCTCTAAAAGGGATATTGAGTAAGAATTATACCTAGATGCCCACCTCAAATACTGCTGGTCTAACAGTACAATAGGTTCAACAAAAATTACTTCCCTGATCACACTTGAGGGGCAAGGTAGCCCTAAGTTTCCCCTAGATAGCTTAGCTTCTAATTTGGTTAATTTTATAAAAGACCATCACAAACAATGAATAGAGAGCAAACATTTATCCAAGCAAATAACAAACAGAAATCAGAAAAAAAAAACATATATAGATTATAAAATACCAAAGAATATTCAAGAGTGAATTAACTCTTAGATGGAAGCTGAGATCTAAACACAAATAAAGAGAGAGGGCTTCTTCTTACCCAAGGAGGTCTATTTTAGAATCTCTATGGATAAAAGTTGAAAATTGAGGACATTTTGGAGCAGCTAGGTGGCTCAGTGGATACAGCACCAGCCCTGGAGTCAGGAGGATCTGAGTTCAAATGAGGCCTCAGACATTTACTAGTTGTGTGACCCTGGGCAAGTCACTTAACCCTAACTGCCTCCCAAAAAAAAAATTTTTGAGGGCATTTTGAGGAAATGATTTCTTCCATGTGTCTATGGATTCTTTGTCTCAAACTGGCTCTCTAGAAGAATGACTCTGTAAGCACAAATGTCTCTGAAGAAGCTGTCACAAGCTTCCCTTGCTCACACAAGTACTCAACATCGTGACATGTTCAACATTGTCTCCACCAAACCACAGTCACATCTCTTTCCACATAAGCAGCAGCATGCCAAATACACCAGGTTTGTTTTGGAAGCCCAGTTACATATATGTTTATCTTGATGCTTTCAAAGCATAGTGAAAAAAAAGTATTTGATTTGAAATAAGGAAAAAATGGGTTAAAATTATTGTTTCAGTAGGTACTATCTGTGTGACAAGAAGTGGGCCACTTAAACACTCTAAGCCTTGGATTCCTCATCTGTAAAGTGGGACCAATAATATTTAAATAGTCTATTTTTCATGCTGTTTTTGTTTTCATTTTAACTGTTGAGAAAAACACTTAGGAAGCTTTAAAATCCTATGTAGTATAATCTGTTATGCCTCACATTCTCATCCCCCAAATGTAGATGGAACTACAAAAATAACTAAAAAAATAAAACCCACAAAATGACCCTACTATTACATGGTGGTAATTTCATCAGAATTTTAGTAGCCTTATGTATATATTATATCATATCATATCATATTATATATTATTCACTTCAGCAAAAAGAATTACATTTTTGGTCTTATTACCAATAAAAGCTATTTTTAAACAACTGTCTGCACATAGTTCTAAAATGAATGTGCTTAAATTACCAATCAATATATAATATGCATTTGTGTGGTCTTATAGGCCATTCATATTAAAGATATGTTTTTATTATTTATATATTCAATTACATTATTAGATTTATTTCATAACTATTCTATTTAAGAGGTTTAGAAAGGCACAACAGTGGTTTTTTTTAAATATGGAACATTTAGCTACATAACACAGAAAAGATTAAAAAAGAAAGAAATGAGAATAGAACAAGAAAAAGCTAGCAGAGTATCCAGGGGTAATATGAATGATGAATAATAGTAAAATCTAACCCCAGGCAGGAGCATGCAGTCTAAATTTATGAAGAAGAATATTACAGATGCCAATGGTGCCAGTGATGGATTTTTAAATATTCTTGGACAAGATGCTATAAAACGGTGTCATTTAGGGAGTGTTGAAATAGGCCACCATTTTTCTTTTCCTGGTGTGCTATAATAAATAACATGAGGATTGTTTGTCATACAATACCTCAAACTCTGAGAGTAAAAGTTCCTATTCCTGACCCATATTCATCCTATCATATTGACCTTTGGAATTCAGAGGGAAAAAAGCAGATCCAATCACCTGCTATTCTAGACACAGGTAACAATTCAAAGAATGGGTGAGTGGAAAGAGCACTGGATTTGGATTCAAAGGAACAGGGTTTGAATCTTGGCTCTACTGTTTACCACCTATATAATTTGAATAGATTGTTTAACCTCTCTGTGTCTCTGGTTCCTCAGATGTATAATGAAAGCAATGAACAAGATTACTTCCAAAGTCCCTTCTTGCCTTAAATCTTTGATCCTATGATCTAGTCTCCATAGATTGAACTGCCTCTTCATTCATCTTTCTTTCCTTGGGTCTTACCTTAACACCAATCTAGATTCCTGATCTGCTAAAGGATAGAAAATTGAGATCAATGCTTCTTTCAGAAATCTACATGACATTCCTACAAATCAATAGATTCAAAATCCAGGTAGTGAGATGAAACAGCGTGAAAAGTGGCTCTATTTTAAACTCAAAAGCATATGGAAGTGATTATTGAGAAATCTAAATAAATTAATAAAGTTAAAAAAAGAAAAGTCGCTCTAAAAGTGTAGGTATACCTGTCCATGGGTCTAGGGGCACAAAATGTAGTCCAGGAGCCTCATGTGATCATCAGTACCATAACCATCAATCATGTACCCCGCTGACTTTTTTACTTAAGTAGCTATTGAATATCATGGTGTTCTTTGGATATTATGCAACTTCTTGTAATTTATCTATAACCAGTCCTCTAAAAGGCTAGGTTTTCTCTAACCCCTTAATCTTTTATTTATTTTTTTAAGTTGTAAGATGTAGAAAAACATGAAGTGGGAGGCAAATTCCTGTTCCTCAGTTTGATGAAAAAAATTACTGGTTATAGAGTCTGGCTTTACTACTTGCTATGTGATCCTGAAAAATTAATTTGATCATAAATTTATAGTTGAAAAATAATTTTAAATCATCTGATTTATTCCCTTCATTTTGAGATGGGGAAAGTGAGCATCAGAGAAGATAAATGACTTGTGCAAGTTTATAGGGTAGAATGTGTCAGATCTAGAATTCAGATCTAGGACCTTGAACTTCAAAACTGGCATTCTTTCTTTTCTAACGTTTAAAGTTACTTTTATCTCCCCAATTAACAAATATTTGTCTTCTCTCCCTCTTACCTTTCACTGGGGAAAAAAGGCATCCCTGCATACTCAAAATAAGTTCCCACATTTGTCATATGAAAAAAAAAAGTGCATGGTTTTTTTTTTACATTTTGAGCTATCTATCACCTCTGTTAGAAGGTGGACTGTATTCTTCATTATCAGTCCTGTGAAATCATGGTTGGTCATGTCATTGATAAGAGATCTTGTCTTTCAGTTGTTTTTCTTCACAATGTCATTATTTCATAATTTAGTCTCCTTGCTCTGCTCACTTCGCATTAGTTCGTACAAGTCTTCTCAGATATATCAGAAACCCTCCCTTTCTTCATTTCTTACAGCATAATAGTATCCCATTATATCTACATACCATACTTTGTTCAGCCATTCCCTGAACAAATGCATTCCCTTAGGTTCTAGTTCTTGCCACCACAGAAAGGGCTGCTATAAATATAATTGTACCTATGGGTCCCTTTTACTTTTCTTTGATATATTTGAGATGTAGGATCAGTAGTGATGTTACTGGGTTTAACTATAAATATACAGTTTAGAGACTTTTGGAGTACATTATACCATGCTGCCCTTGCTGAATCTTAATTTCCTCATCTTTCAAGTAAGAATACTCATAGATTGAATATGAGTAGAGTTTTGTAGAATTTAAAAGTGATGTAGCAGTGGGAGTTATTATCACTAATTCTGACATGTATTTCTTTTGGTATTTATTGGTTTTATAACTCACCTTCAATTTAGTGTGTTAGAGTGTTTTCTGGGACAAAGGGAAGTTAAATTAGCCACCCACATTCATTTAGCTGTAATGTACTGGAAGTGAACCTTGATACTGAGTCTTCATTCTCTCTTCAATGTGCCACTTAGCCTTCCAGTTGTTACGATTATGCTATATTACTACAACTACTAGAGAGTCATTCTGGGTATTTTGGAGGGACACGGGCAGTGCTAGTGATTATATTTTTATAATTGTACGTGGAAACTTGATTTCTTTCTCATATGTACTTACTAAAAATGTATGCCATCATAAAGTGCTTATTGGGAAAGTTGTTTCTTTGGAAATAATAACAATCTTTAATTATTAGGATAATTCGTAAAGAATTTTAACTTACTGCCTATGTGCTCTGTTTGCACAGGGCACAAAGAAATAGTAGTTGCTAAACAATTTGGACTTCTCTCAATTAATGTAGGAGTGTATCAACTAAGTTGAAAATCTGTGTAACAATGGAATGCCTTCCCAATGCTCAAGTTTGACATTTGCTAAATTGTTCAAAGTATGACATTATATGTTTCCTGGAGCACTTCAGAGGGACAAATATTGGCTATCACTCTCAAAAACAGTAAGTTCTAATTAGTGCTAGCTCATACCATAACTACATTGTTAACATTAAAATGTGGTCAACAGGATAATTTAGATTTTTAGAGAGTTTGTGAGAGATCTGGGTTTACAAAGGGATTGAGTGTCATTTTCTTAGTTTACAGTAGGGAGAGAGAAAACAAAGGTGAGAAAATAGGATAGTTTAGATAGCTTAGGGTATGGGTCCTCAATCTGAGATCTGCAAATTTGAATGAGGAAAAATACATCTTTATTTTCACAAAAGTGGAACTGAAAATTAACATTTCATTCAATTGTGTTTCATTCAATTGAATTCATTCAATAGGCAATACTATATAGGACACCATAGGCTGCAAGTTGATTGCTAAAAGTATCCATGACACAAAAAGTCTAAGAATCCCTTACTTAGAGGCTTCCATGAAAGCTTCTTATGTTCATGGTAGTTGTGTAAAATAATTATGTCAAGAATTTAAATGTCAGAAAAAAATGCCTAAAACTATTTTGTTTTATTTTTTCTTTCTTTCTTCCAACAGTGCTACCTAGCCACACATGTGGAAATCCTGGGGAAATACTTAAGGGAGTCCTCCATGGAGCCAGATTCAACATAGGAGATAAAATTCGATACAGCTGCCTTTCTGGATATGTTTTAGAAGGTCATGCTATGCTTACCTGCATAGTTAGTCCTGGCAATGGTGCATTATGGGATTTCCCAGCTCCATTTTGCAGAGGTACAGAATGCATGCTAACTTAGAAGGGAAAAATATTGTGTTGCTAATCAGTCAATGCAAAAGAATGCAGATATTGAAACCACTCTCATTTAACAGAACATGGCATATCAAATAGGATAAATTCCCTAAAGCGTTAAGTTGGTCTGATGTTAAGATAATTAAAATTGGAAGTAAAATTGTGTAGAATAAATTCAAGTCTAAATTAGACCATTTATAGAATTAGAGATAAAAAAGATTCTCTAAGTCATGCCTATCTCAAGACACTAAAAGAACTGGCTGATATTATTTTTGAGTCTCTATCACTGTTCTTGGAAATATTGTGGAGGTCAGATGATATTCTTAGGATTGGCATATAATAGGCACAACATATCACATTTGTTTCTTTCCCTGTTATAGATTGCTTAATTTGCCCTAGACACTCACATCACTTGCACAATTGTGAAACACACACTCAACGAGACTTCATATTTCATTATTAAAATATGACTGAAATAAATGGGAAAGATGCAACTACGTGCTCATTGATTTATTTCAAGGAGAAAAAATTTAAGCATCAAGAATCTAGTTCTTATAAATAGGACAGTCATAGCTGAATGTGAGATTCCATACTGAACTTAAGCAATGAGGGATTAGATATGCTACAGTAAGTACTCTGATATGGTTATGAACCCATTAGCTCACTATGTGTACTCTCCCTACCAGTACAGATTAGAAAGCATTCACAGCTTCTAGTATGGTGTAATCTTTGTCTATATCCTTGTATAAATACTTCGTAAGGTTTCTATCCAATATTCTTAATACTTTCCAGTAGTTTCTGTTGGTTTTTTGTTTTTGTTGTTATCTCACTGATACCTCAGTGGTATATTTGGGTCATAATAAATCCCTCTTTTATATGTAATAATAATAATAATAGCTAGTATTTGTGTTGTTTAAGGTTTATAAAGCAACTTTACTAATATTATTTCTTTTTATCCTCATGATAATTATAGGAGGTAGATGTTGTTGTTATCCCCATTTTATAGATGAAGAAAATGGTGCCGAAAGAGATAACTTGACTTGCCCAGGGTCACACAACTAATGTCTGAGTCTGCACTTGAACTTAGGTTCTTCTTGACTTCAGGTCTGACACTCTATCCATTGGGCCACCTGGCTACCTCTATTCACATATGCCCATGAGGATGTCTTTTATAATATTTCTCATATTTGAGTCATTGTAGGTTATATACCGTAGCCTAAAAATACTAACCATATGAGTTGACACAGCCTTTTGAGTTACCTCCAGTTTTTATGTACTGAAGAGTACAATTATAGTGCTTTACAAATCACAGCTATGCATTGTCAATGAAAGACTAGTCATGATTTTAAAGAGAGAGAGAGGAAGAGAATTGTGTTAGTAGGAGCTTTGGAATCAATGAAAGCGCTGTTCAGTTTCCCTAAAGTAATCAAGAATGCTGTCTTCCTCATACGCCTTTCTGTGCCCACCTCATTGTGCTTCTCAAAAGCCTGTCCATGAAAAGAAGGAAAATAATCTAAAGAAAATAACAACAAAAAGCAAACAAACAAAAAGCTCAATCATAGCTAGCAGCAATATAACAATGTAAGGTATCATTTCTTATCATTTCTTGCAACCCTGTGAGGTCGACACTGTCAACCAGTTAGTCAATAAACATTTTCTTGTGTTTATACTACATGCCAAGTACTCTAAATACAATATCAAAAATGAAACATAATGTAAACTTCAAGTATCATGGCTTTTTCTTTATTTTTGATGTTTTATCATTTCTGTTGTTGGGGGAGACATGAACACTTAATTTTTTTTACAAAAAACAAGTTGGAGTTGGGAATTGAGGAGTGGATTGCAAGCATTAACAGCTAGTGTAGTGGAATCATAATAGACTTTGGGTAAGAGACAATATTATTTTAATTTTACGAAGAAGGAAACTGATGCCCAACTAGTGAAAGTGTCCCAAGTCTATTAAGTGGCACAATTGGAATTCAAGTCCATGTGTTCTTGCTTAGACTCACGGGATTTTGTTCATATTTCAGTCACTTGTGGGTATGTATGCATGTGTGTGTGTGTGCATATGTTCTTTTCTCCTCCTTCTCCCATTCATCCTTCTCTTCTTCTTCCTCACTCCCATCCTTTCCAATTCACTCCCACTCTTCGGCTAAGGCACCTCTTCTCAGGTCTAGATTGTTATACCATTCATGACTCTCAGATGAGAATCCAATAAATTTCATGAATTACCCTGTTCACCCTCAAATGTTTGAATTCCACCATAGCTGACTATTATCAATAGTTACCTATACAGCCTTTAGTCCTTGTGCCTTCCTGAAATATGTTCTGTTTGCATTCTCTCTGCTAGTTCCCTTTTGTCAATGGAATGCCCTTTTTCAGATTGAACTTCAGGGTCCAACTACTAAGAAGAAAAAAAGGAAACTTGGTCTGAGCTCTTCCAACCTCAGATATATATTACTGATTCAATACAACTATTATCCAATAAGGTCTACATTCAAAATGAAGTAATTGAATATGTCCTCTGTGATCACAGGAGTTAACCCATATGGTGACTAGAAATACGGTAGCATCCACCTGTAACCTAACTATAGGGTTATGGACCAGAGGTGTAGCATTCACCTACAAGGATACAGGATGAGTTTTCCTTACCAGCACAACTGGGTCTCAGCCCTGTTCTGATTCTGGGAAATGAAGCTTGCAAATATCACTGCAATACCAAAATCTCTTCTTTTAATAAGTACTGACCAATCCAGAGTGGCTCCTAGAGTTTGAGGACTGTTATCTTATATTGAGGTAGAACCAAGAAAGACCTTTTAAAAAGGTATAAATCAATGATAAGCAAAACCAGGTACTTTTAATACTTCAGCCATGAATAGGATAGAGTAGGATAAACAAAGGGGTTAGCACAATTAATTTGGTGTCAGTTTTCATAGCTTCATCATCCATTCTAGTTGCTGGTGTTTTCATAAGTTTTCTCTTCCCTCTAGAGAAAGAAGCCCAATCAGATCAACCTGAACAAATTTCTCTAACAGCAATGATAATAGTTCAAATTTATATAACACTTCAGGGTTTACAGAGTGTTAGCATTACAACAATTCTGTAAGCAAAGTAGTATGTTTTCTGCATTTTACAAATGAAATAATTGAGGCTTGGAGAAATTAAATAACTAGGCCCCTGTTCTCCTAATTCCAAATTCAGTGTTCTTTACATTTCACTTTGCCATCTTTTAATAGCCTCTGCAACATACATTGGCCCATGAACTACAATTATTTTCATGCTGACCCCCTTTTTAAGGTTCTCATGAGCACTGACTACAAGTCAAGCTTAGCCAGTGTCCAAGGAAACAACGTTTTGGTAATGCTTGGGCACAGAATGAAAACAACTCTGCTAACTCATTTATTTCCTCTCTGAGGAAAACCTGTGGTAGATCCTTCCAACTAGCAGCAACTTCTAGGTATTCCTGTTTCATTTATAAAACATATACCAGATCTGTATGGTTCTGGCTTACTACCTTTAGCCAGGTAGCAACTCTCTGGCCATTGTAAAAAGATCTGACATTTAATTTATTAGTGGTCAGAAAACTTTGTATAGATAGTCAAATGATTGTAGGAATCATTTAACCTTTCAAACCCTTTTCAGACATTCTGCCCACATTAATTTGAAAGCTGATGATAGGGAAACCATTTATAAATCATAATGATAATAATAATTTGCTTCATGGCTTGTCATGACCCAAAGTTACCCCTCTAGTAAACAACCTAATGCTTAAAAGCTTCTCCTTCGTTGGGTGTACTGGTGCTCAAACAGCTGGTACCTTCAGGTGGTATGAGATAACCAAACAAATTAAAGAGGCATTGTGCCTGATTCCTAAATGGTAATTGCTTGAAGTTTGTTCCTTATAGTAGAACCAGCCAGTGATGCTTGTTCTGCCCTGTCACAATGATGTTTCATGAATTCTGAATTTTACCTTTCATTCCTGATGACAGCATATAACCCAAATACAGACTCCTAAAATTACAAGTCATGTGTTCAATTAAAGGATATTCACTTCATTAAACTGTCATTACCATAAGCTTAAATATTCTGTATACACAATAAAGTTGGAGTTGCTTAAAACTCAAAGATTTTCCATTCAGTTAAATATCTAAGTTGGAGCACTTTTCTCTTCATTGGTGGGAATGGTTTCTTATTTTCACTTGCAAGATTTTTTTTTCTCTTTCTACTCATTTTTCTTATACTTCATTAACTTTCTTTATTTTCCTTTACTGTTAGATCTTAATTTGATTCATTTTCATGTTTTTCTTCCAATCCCAACTTCCATAGCCTAATGACAAATTCAAATTTCATGGTTATGTATTGTATGTCTGTATGTGTGTATGCTTGCATGTATGTGTTATACACATATGTTATATACTGTATAGTAGTAGTAGTAGTAGTAGTAGTAGTAGTAGTAGTAGTAGTAGTAGTAGTAGTATTTAATGTTCTTCTTGTTGTTGTTGAGTCATTTCAGCCTTGGCCAACTCTTCATGACCCCATTTAGGGGTCATAACAAAGATATACAGCTTGTAAGGCCTGATTTAAACTCAGGAAAATGAATCTTCCTGACTAAAGGCCTGACCCTCTCTCCACTGTGCCACCCCAGTGTGTGCATGTGTGTGTGTGTGTGTGTGTGTATAAACATACATTCACACATACACTCATATGTATGTGTGTAAATATAGGTATATGACCACATGGTGACATTGTGTATCACACATGCACACACATATATGTATATGCATATATACATATACATATCCATGTATATACATATATAACATGTGCATGTATATGTACATGTATATGTATACATGTACATAGTGCTTTTGTATATGTGTGCGAATATGTGTGTGTGTATCCCCACATGGGGCAGCTAGGTGGTGCAATGGATAGAATACCAGCCCTGGAGTCAGGAAGATGCACCCTCTTGAGATCAAATCTG